CCCGCGGGCTCAGGCAATCCACTCACCTCAGCCTCCCAAGGCGCGGGATTACAGGCTGAGCCACCGAGCCCGGCTCAAAAATATTTTTCTAACAAAAATTTCATGACCAAAATAAGTGTAACATATGACAACTTTTGAAGTAGCAAAATATAACTCTTTACCAATCAGTACATATTTTTTAAAAATATGAAATTTTCTTATTTATCTCAACTCATATTCTACAAGAACAAAAAAGTCTTTTATAAGAAAGAGGTTACTTAATATTTGAAAGAAAAAATACCTTTTCTTAAACATGGATATCGAAATAATTTTAAAATTCCATAGTCATCAGCTGTAACTAAAACTTGGCCAATATAATTTCCATCTACTGAATTTATATCATTGATATCTGAATACTTGGGCCAAATTCCATTGACTTCAAGGCCTGAAACACATGTCCATGAAGCCCAATGAACACCTTTGATTTCTTCTGTACTTGTCACTTCTTTTCCTCCTAAAAATAAATCAGAGTCTTAATTTGAGAAGTTATTCACTTTATTTTCACTTAAGACTTAACTGTACTGATAACATGGTAAATTCTAAAAGTGTAAATATCTTCTGACCCCAGTTAGAGGAAACTACATAAATAGGTAAGTTTGGGTAAAAAGAGAAAACCAAATGCAAGGATTTTTTTAAAAGCCATTACCAAAATCATATTGATTCAGAGACACACAAAGATTTGAATGATTGGCTAAGCAGTTTCACTCATGTGGAAAATAAAACTGAATTCTATTAAAATTATGATACAGAATAGTCATGACAGGGTAAGTTAAAAGGCAAAAGCTGTGAGAAAGTGGGAATCACATATTAAAAAAGAAACCTAAGATACATAGTTGACAAAAAAAAAAAAAGAGAGAGAGAGAGAGAGAAAGAGAGAACTGAAAAAGACCAAAAAGAAAGGATGAGTGGGGTGTCATGTTTATATGAGGTAAGAGGACTTCAGGGTTAAGTCAGTCTTCATGGCATATTGGTTAGTGACTTTTGGGGAAATTCCTTAACTTAATTATGCAGTTTATCTTATTTAATACATTCTTGGAAGACAATGACTAATTCACTAAGCATCATTAACAAATAACATACTAAGAGGTAATACCTTGATGATTCTGCTTTTATTCCTCTTTTTAAAAATCTTTGAGTGAATTCTGTTTTTCAAATTCAGCTTATTCATTATATTATTAATATTTGAAAAGTTAATTTGAGGTAGCCACAAAAATTCCTACACACATTCATAGGAATTATATTTACTTCATTAGGTCCATCCACAAAAATGGCATTTTGACTCTCTAATATACAGTGGGACTTTGCCATATGCTGCTCTCAGTATAAAGTTCAGTAAAAAGTAAATCTGTCTTAGATCCTTCAGGCAAAGGAGTTTTAATTAAGAACCAAAGGATTTAGAATGGTTGGTTGTCAGGGACTGGGAGAAGGTCATGGAAAGATATTGATCGAAGTGTACAAAGTCTCAGTCACACAGAATGAATAAATCCTAGAGATCTAATGTATGTACAGCATGTTGACTACAGTTAGCAATGCTGTATTACTATATAATAAACTGGAAATTTGCTACAAGAGTAGATGTTAAATGTTCTCACCATACATACACACACAAAAATGGTAATTATGTGAGTTGATAGATACATTAGTTAGCTCGACTGAGGAAATCATTTCCCAATGTATGTGTATCAAAATATCACATTGTACATTATAAATATATACAATTTCTTGTGTTGACTATACCTCAATTAAAAAACCAAAATGATTTCAATTTAATAAGGTAGCCTTGTTGAAAAGACCACAATGCCTGAAATATTAGCTCAGATCTTTTTTGATTTCCAATAATCAAATGTAACTTACACTATGCTTCAAGTGAAACTCTAAAATATTGCATAGACACTATAATCTATAAAAAGTATATAATTTACTAGAAATTTTTACCTGGCATCCTATAAAAAAGTCTTTTCCCATTTCCATCATTTGTCTGTAAATATCTACTGTCAGAGGACCAGTCCAGATGAGTGATGAAACTAAGTGATCCAACACATTCACCAACTTTCTTATATCGCTGGGCAACTCCGTAAATGTCAATTGAGCTGTCATTGCATCCAACAGCAAGATAAGTTCCATCTGGTGAATACTTTAACTCATGAATTGCCTCCTTCCTATCCTTAATATGTACAACTTCTGTCATATCTCTGTTAAAATCAAAACATAAGACTATATAAGCAAAAGTCACAACAGAATTCAGTTTTCAAATGTGCATAAAATGACTGTGAGGCTGTATCAAATGTTTATAAACTATAAAATAAATGTAAATAAGACAAGAGTATTAGTTCAGGAATATTTTGTTGAACAGAAATTTATGAGGACAACATATGTCAGAAGTACAAAAAAATGCTGGATTTCAGTTTCTAAGTTATTTTAACCTTAGACATCAACATTAAATTTCTGAAGTCAATAAATAAATAAGGGAAATAACGTCTCGTATTTTTCCAGTTAAAGATGCTATTTATAAATGAGTTTGTAAAAAATGCTTAACTATAAACACTATAATTTTTTCTTTTATCTTTTCTTTTCTTTTTTTTTTTTTTTGAGTTGGAGTCTCACTCTGTCACCTAGGCTGGAATGCAGTGGCATACTCAGAGCTACAGCAGCCTCGACCTGCTGGGCTCAGGTGATACTTCTGCCTTAGTCTTCCAAGTAGCTGGAACTATAGGCATGCGCCAGCACACCCAACTAATTTTTCTTGATTTATTGTAGAGATGAGGTCTCACCAAGTTGCTCAGGCTGGTCTCAGACCCCTGGACTCAGGCAATCCTCTTGTCTCAGTCTCCAAAGTGCTGGGATTACAGGCTGGAGACACCACGCCCAGCTGAACACTATAATTTTCCCAATTTTTTTGTAATGAGTCAAATGTGCAAAATTATATCCAGAAAATAAGAAAGGAAGAATTGATTTATATTACTTTAGTAATACATTTAAGTGTATGTCTTTACATAGATAGCTACCACTAGTTATTTTATTTCAACCTTTTTGATATTTTTTAATAGACTGCAAATTCTTCCCTTAGGGACCATGTCAACCAGTGAAGTTGAACATTTTTTTCAATGACGGGCTTTCATATAATTGATAATAACCAAAATAAACCAGGCTTTGGTAACAGCCATAAAAATGGATAAACAGTTTAACACAACTGAGTTTCCAAAGTTGTGGAATCAGTGGGTAGAGGAGGAGAAGTAGGGGAGAGAGAGGCAGGAAGGGAGAAGTGGCAGGAGGAAGCGAAAATTCTTAATTCCTATTAGCATCAGGTACTTTTCTCCATATAAATTTTGCCTTCGTTGACTTACTTGTTACATGTGCGGGAATTAATCTTCAGTTGTATTTGGGCCTCTATACAACTGGGGTCTATCATTACAGTAGTGATTACTCTGGTCAATATAGTGTTAGAAATAGAAAAGGAGCCCTAAGATAAACCCAAGATTGTATTATTTAAAGCTTTGTACTTTTTCAAGCTTTCCTTGTCAACACCCCTCTTGCCTTAGACCTTGTAAGTTGCAAGGCCCTCTTGCTAAGTACAGACTCACAGCAACACTACATGTCCCTGTGACTCCTTTAAGTTATAATTAAATCCACACATCTTATTTCCTTTTGCCCCTATATCTATCTGGCTATTCATCTGTATCTATATGAAGCCAGATTTTTAAGACACCTAAGGCACTATTTGATAGATTTTATCTTTATGCATACTTTATTAAAATATTATAATCGTAATCTTCACAACCTTAATCAAAATGTGTCTGGAAAATTCTTCAGAATTATTTTGGTTTTTTTTTAATAGCATTTTTGTTTTAGAGACTTAATTGCTTAATGAGAGAAATAAGAATGGCTTATTATTCCAGGTTTTCTGTTACCATGCCCCCTGCCCACTAATACACACACACACACACACACACACACACACACACACACACACACAAAGCAATAGTGATGAAGAGAGAGATTTTGGTTAACTGTTTTTACAGTATGTTATGTTGCTATGTCAACATTATGGATTTTATGACTGCTCTTTCTATGAAGTCTCTCTGACAAATTAAAGGAAAGAAGGACTATTAGATGAAAATTTGTTAATTTTTAAAACATTTGGAATTAAGTCTCCTGGAACACTGATACATGACTGCTATGACTTCTTTTAAGAAGCAGAAGGAGGTCAAAGCCTGGGAATACTCACACATGAACAGTTTGTAACACATCACAAAGTAAAGGTACACAGTGGATCAGAGAGTGTAACAAAAGAGTCATTCCTAGCTGAGGGATTCTGGAGAGGCATACACAGGGAGTAGAGCACATAGCTATGATGTCTAAACTTTATTCCGAGAAATGAATGGAACTTAGCTCAGCAGAAGAGGAATTGGGAAATGAAGGACCCATGTTCCAGCAGAGACAATAGTAAACAAAAGAGCTGATGGCAAGAGAAAGAATTCAAGTCCAGCTTGAGAAGGTCAATGTAGTTGCAATGACACAGCAAAGAGTTTAGTTTGGGAAGAGAAGCTAAGTAAAATTGTGAAGGGCCTCATAGGTCTTGTTAAGATTTTTGGCCTTTCGGAAGTGGATGTGACGTGGGGAACAGATGAACACTGTCACTGTAACAGGCCTTGAGTAAAGGCCCCAAGCGAAGGCAAGGTATCACTTAATGGCCCCAAGCTCATAGGCAAGGTCTCACTTGGAAGTTCTACATCCTAGCCAAAGGCAGGCTGTGAGAGATACAGCCTGCTACATGAAATGGTATCTCAGATACCCACACATCCGAGTACACATAGGACAGATAAACCCTTAGCTATAACAAGATAACCATGGAACAACTCGCCTTTTAGATAACTACATAATTCCATTAGGGCTCCCTCACAGACCTTGAATCCCTTCCAACTTCCCTTGTACTTGATTACAAAAAAAAATGTGCTAAGTTAATTTAGGACTACTTCTCCATCAGAGGAAAGTGTCCCACCTGGCCCCAGCTTTTCTGTATGTGTTTGTGTCTGTGTCTCTCTTAATCTCTTGCTGCTCTCTCTTGAGACCCTCACAACAACTGTGCGGGTCGTGACATTAGCCTTAGTTTGCAAGGGGAAGATAATGTAGGATATACCAGTTCGATCACTGATCGGGTTCCAAGGTAAAAAACAGATTGAAGGAGTATAATAGTAGGATCAAGACCAATTGAAAGGTTACTGTAGATGGTGGTTTCTCAGACTGCAGAAAAAAAGTGAACTGATGTAAAACACACAACATCATAATATGTATATTCTATACTATTATATCATGTAATACGCACATAGTAAGTATCCATCGATGGATGAATGGATAAATAAATATACATATACAACAGAATACTATTAAGCCTTAAAAAGAAAGAAAATCTTCTCAGTTGCTACAACATGGATGAACCTGGAGAACACTGTGCTTGCGAAATAAGCCAGGCATAGAAGAACAAATATTGCATGATCTCACTTACATGTGCAATCTAAAAGAGTCATACTCACAGAAGAAGAGAGTAGAATGTTATCAGGGGCTGGGGGTGAGAGAGGAAGGAGGGAAAAAGGGAGGGAGGGAGGGAAGAACGGAGGGAGGGAAGGAGAGAGGGAGGAAGGGAGGAAGGAAGATGCTAAGACAGATCTTAAATGTTCTTACCACAACAAAAAAGTATGTGAGGTGGTAAATATGATAACTAGCTTGATGTAATTACATATATGGAAGGACCCTCCCCCCACCCCACACACACACAGAAAAAAAAACAGAGTTATCTTTTGGGGGCTAGCCCCTTGTAGTACAGGCTTCCCTTGCTAGGTAAGTATTCTAGGAACCCATCAGCATTGGTGTACCAACTAGCATTGTTGTGAGAGGTTGAGTTTGGCTTCAGTGAATTCTTTTTTGGAGATTCCTTCAAAGCATTTGACTATTTCATGATGAGTGATTTAAGAATGCACTTGCCAAGACAGCACTGAATGTTCAGCAGTTTTTGACCAAAAATGGCATGACTCCCGTGCCTCACCCTCCCTATTCACCCAATCTCATCCCGGCAAATTTTTTTGTTTACCCAGATGAAAAAAGTCTTCAAAGGGAAACGTTCTGCCAATGTGGAAGAGGTAAAACAAAAAACAGCAGAAGCACTACAAGACATCAAAATGGACAAGTTCAAAAACTGTTTGGACAGTGGAAAAAGCATCTTGATAGGTGTACTGTACAAACAGAGAGTACTTTGAAGATGACTGACTTTAAATATGTAAGAATAAATACACAATTTAAAAAATAAATACATTCTTGCTTTTTGGGGGTCCTCCCTGTGTAGCAAAATTCCATATTATGGTACCATAAATAGATACCATTTTTATTTGTCAATCATGTCTTAATAAAGCCAGGGAGATACAAAAATAACAAATGGTAGATTAGTTGAAAATAATTTTAAAATTGTTAACATTTTCATCACAAAGAAAAGAAATGTGTTAAGAAGATACTGTGACTTTACCCTGGCATACCACCTTATACTCTAAGAATCAGTATGTGATATTCTAATTCATTCTACCTTCCTTTAACCGTAACATAAACACTCCTTAGGCAGGTATTTTAATAATGCTATACTAATGAATCCTGCTTTGCTATTTGGAGAATACAAACCAAACCAAGAAGAAACAGTGACCAGGTAAATTCAGATAAAATAAGAACACTATTTTGTGAGTTAGAATTTTTTGGTCAAACTATGGAGGCATTTATTAGTCAGAATAATCCTTCCAATAATCCTATTGGCAGTGTTGAATTCAGTTGCTAAAATTTAGCCTTATTAGAAATAAGAAATTTTTAACCAGTTTACTGCTACAATAATTGAAAGGATAGGTAAGTGTATAACTAAACATAATAATAATCATGATTTCTGAATGCATATCAACTATATGACAGAAACTCTTTACATGCATCTTACATTCTTGTAAAACCTCTATAAGTTAGCATTCTGATTCCAGTACTTCTAATAGTTTCATTTCTTATAAGCAAGGAAAAATGAAGTTAACCACAAATATTATTATTCCTAGGTAATGTCTAGGTGTTTCTTTGTATGATTTCCAACCTGCAAAACTAAATAGCAGCCTCCAAAGAAATTATACAACCAATGAAAAGACAGATGTTCAATCTTAGATGATGATGGTTACAGAGATTCTAGAATCAATAACCAAATCAGTGCTCCAATTATAACAGTATGGAGAGCCCTACTGAGAAGTTTCATAATCTCTTATCTTAGTTAAAGAAGTTGTTTTGGGCCAGGCACAGTGGTTCATGACTGGAATCCCAGTACTTTAGAAGGCTAAGGTGGAAGAGAGCTTTACACCAGGAATTCAAGATCAGTCTGGGCAAAATGGTGAGACCTCATCTCTACAAAATCTTTTTTAAAAAATTAGGCATGGTAGTGTGTGCTGATAGTCCTAGCTACTTGGGAGGCTGAGGTAGGAGGATCACGTGAGCCCAGGAGTTTGAGGCTACAGTGAGCTATGATTGTGCCACTGTATCCCAGCCTGAGTGACAGAGCAAGACTTCCATCTCCAAATAAATAAATAAATAAACACTGTTTAGCGGTTTTGGCATGACAGTCTCTGGGGGGAAGCTATAATTGATATTCAAATTTTTATATAGTTAAATGGCAATTTAAAACTTCCATTTTATGAGGCCCCTAGAGTAGTTCAATCCTTTCCTTCATCAGGACAGAAGGTAGAGTGGTCGTTAGGAGCTTGGAGGAGGGAGAAACGGGGAATTATTGCTTGATGTGTCCTGAGTTCAGTTTGGGAAGATATAAACATTCTGGAGATGGATTATGGTGATAGTTGCACAACGTTGATACCACTGAGATATACATTTAAAAATGGCTGAAATGTAAGTTTTACGCTATGTGTATTTTACCACAATAAAAAATTAGCTTAAGATAAAAATTTAAGATAAAAATCTCATCATATCCCATTATAAAATGCCATCTGAGAAAGAAGAGTCAGCATGCAGAGAAGCTCGGAAATGCAAGAGAATATGGTGTAATTGATGTAGTGAAAGAAGTTTGATGCAGATGAGAGAAAGAGACATAGGCAGAGATCAGCAGGAAGGAGAGACGCCACACACCATGCTCAGTTTCATGAACCTCACCCCAAGGCCAGTGCATGGCCTTTCGCATACCTTAGGAAGAAGTGAAATGCAAACAATTGTTTGAAAAGGAATCACCATTGCTGTAGAGTGAAGAAAAGTCTCAAGGGAAGCAAGACAGGAGGTAAGAAGGCCAGCTAAAAAGCTATTCCAGTCCAGAGAGGGCAGAAGCCTGCTGGAGAGGACAGTGGGGAGAACAACAGAAGGAGAGTGTCTAACAGCTAGCTAGGAAGGAGATACTCAAAACTCTGTGATTAACCAGACACAGGGGGAGGAGGACAGAAAGGGGTCAGGACTGGGCAACTGTGTAATGGGTCTTACCATTCACTAAGCTAAAGAAAGACTTCCTAAGTATTTACCCTTGTGAACAGGTATGGATTTGATTGGCTGCCTAGAATTCAGTTGAATGCACTACCTATACTTCAACACAAAATATTAATTGCTTTAACATTACCAAAGGAAGAGATGGAGGCATTTTTTTGTTTTCAAAGAATGAAGTTGCAAACAACAACAGCAACAAAAACCCTTTACCTATTTTTACCAGCCTCAGGGTTGTTCAATGGCAGGGGATCATTACTGAAAATCTTTACCAAGAAAAGGAAGTTGGGACCCAAATTTACGGCTCAAAATTTTAGCCATTTGTCTACTAAGCATACCTAGCCTCCCAAACCAAGGTTTTTATTTTGAGACAGAGTCTTGCTCTGTCACCCAGGCTGGAGTGCAGTGGCGTAATCATGGTTCACCGCAGCTTAATCTTCTTGGGCTCAGTGATCCTCCTGCCTCAGCCTCCTGAGTAGCTGAGACTACAGGAGGGCGCCCAGCTAATTTTTTATTTTTAGTAGAGATGAGGTCTTGCTATGTTGCCCAGACTGGTCTCAAACTCTTGGCCTCAAGTGATTCTCTTGCCTTGGCATCCCAAAGTGCTGAGATTACAGGCATGAACCACTGTACCTGGCTGCAAACCAAGGTTTTTGTGCTTATTTACTATTCTAACAATCTTATTTTTATTAACTAGTATTAATTTATTAACTTATTAACTTTGATTAAACTAGTATTTGAAATATATATATAACAATAAGGAGGAGGAAATAAAAGAATGGGTAAAAGCAGAGTACTGTATGTTCTTTCTATTTCTACCCTAACACCATACCTTACTCTAAGTACAGTGAACGAGCCATCTTTCATTCCAAGGGCAAGATGGATTCCATCTGCATTTACAGCTGCACAACGAATGGGTTCTTCCATATTACACCTTGCTATTAATGCATGATCCACTAGGCTCCATATCCTGTAACATTGAATTAAGAAAATAAAAAAGAATAGTTAACTAATGCATACTTTAAAAATAATGAAAATATTTTGGCTGAAATAACAATCTCACTTTAAGTAAGATAAATCTAGATATTTTAACTGTCTTTGTGGCAAGAAGGCAAGAAATTCTAATCTATGAAAATGAGACTATTGTTCACGTGGAAATGACAGTCATTATCATAACCTTTTATTTTAAAGCAATGCAATGACACTGATTTTTTTCTAATCATTCATTTTTTTAGGTAGATGATTTTGACCCTGAACAGAGAGAGAGAGAGAGAGAGAGAGAGAGAGAGAGAGAGAGAGAGTGTGTGTGTGTGTGTGTGTGTGTGTGTGTGTGTGTGTGTGTGTGTGTGTGTGTGTGTGTACTGGAAGAATATATTGGAAAACTTTTAGAATTAATTTTGGGGATAATTTCTCTATGATACAATCTCAGGATTCATTAAATAAAATATTGATAAATTCAGCTATATAAAACAAAATAACAACAACAACAAAATACTTGTGCATGGCAAAAACAACCTAGACAAAGTAAAAAAGCAAGTACCAACATGGTGAAATTATTTGCAACTTACATTACAGACAAAGGGCTAATATCTATAATATAGGAAAAGTTGCTTAAAAGAAGAAAGAAAAAATCAACAACCCTATAGGAAAATGAAGGCAAGAAATGTGAGCGGTTCATAGAAATGATTCTAGGGAACCATCTAATTATTTTTAAAACTAGTTAAATGCAGGAAAAGAGTTAAGCGCTTTTCAGCCTTTTCCATACAAACTGTATCCAGGATAATATAATTATAATATATAATATTATATTATAGAACTATAATAGCTAACAAATGATAAATAACAGAATATCACCATTTGAAATTCTTAATAAAATTATAGATCTAGGCCATGTATTCTCAACAGGGACACTACTTCTCCAAAAGGGGTAAAAATGAGTACTTAGCAGTAAAAAAAATCTTAACTATTACAACAATCTGTGTTCTTCTAAAGGGCCACAGTACAAAATGAGATATGCAATTGCCTGTAGTATTAAAATTTTTCAGAGAAAGGGCACAATTAGAAAAAAAAGTCTAGGAAGTCTAATGGGGAAAGAACAATAACCAAAAAGGTTGAGAAACACTGACCTAGACAATAACGATGAGCAGCTGCTGATACAAAAGAAGGGGACCACACAGCACAGCCCATCCAGCAGGGGTGCAGTGCACATGGCTCCCAGGAACATGCCTGGAAAAATTCATAGCTGTATCTCCACAAGAATTCAGGTCTAGCTATCAGTTTACAGCTTACAAGGAAACAGAGAGTGTGTTCAGATAAACTACAGGTATGCAACTAGCCAAATTCAGAATGTGGGTGAAGACCTCATCTCCTCAATGTAAGAAGTAAAAAAGGAAGAAAAGAAGTTACAAAATAAAAGACATTGAAAAGATGTATCAGTAATCGCAATATATGGACCTTATCTGGATCCTAATTCTAAGAAACCACCAAATTTTTTAAAGAGATAATTAGGGGATTCCCACACTGGTTGGATATTTTTTATGTTAACGGAATGCTGTGTGATAACAGTATTGTGGTGATGCTTAGAGTTATCTTTTAAGGATATAAGCTGAAACACTTATAGAATAAATGGGGGAAATGACAAACTGACAAAAATATCTCAACTCTAACAACTGATCAATGGTTCTCAAACTTTTGTATATATTATAGTTCACTTGAAGTCCTGTTAAATAACAAATTGCTGCATTTCTGGTAACTAGGTCCTGGAAAAAGCCTGAGAATTTGCATTTCTTACAAGTTGCTAGGTGAGGCTGATGCTGCTGTTCCAGGCACCACACTTTGAGAACTGCTGTCATAGACAAAGAGCTAATTTCTTTAATATGTAGACAGAGATTACTAGATTCTATTTTAAATCAATTAGAGAAAAAGACCAATGAACTAATGGAAAAATAGACAAAGAGCTTGAACAGACAAGTCACAGAAATGACCAATGTATTCTATTTCACAGAAAAGAAATGACCAATGTATTCAATGTATATGAAAGAAACAAATATTTTCACAATATAATGAGATATAATTTTTCACCTTTTGGGGTTATAATTAGTGCTAGCAGCAATATGGGAAGATAGGTATTGTCATATGTTGACAACAGGTGTATAAATTGCTGTAGCCTCTGTGTAAGACATTATCTATCAAAATGTAAAACACATTCATCCTTTGAACACTGCCAAGAACTGATCACAGAGATATTCACACATGTACAAGATGACATGTGTATAATGATATCCATTGCAAGCAAGTTATTAAATACATAAAAACTAGAAGAAACTAATCTTCCATCAGTAATGGATTAGTTGAATAAATTACAGTATATTCATGCAGTGAAATATTATATGGCAGTTAACATTCTGTACATTCTGATATGGAACAAAATCCATGTCATGTATTTTTAAGAGAGAAAAACCAAAATCTTATTAATAGTTAATTCTGTTAATTTTAAGTACCTATTAATCACATTCATTTGTTATTACCATAAGCTGATAAGGTGTTTTAAGTTTCCTTTATGTTTTATCTAAGGATAAACTCCAGCCTATGCACTTACTTTATAATCTGCTTACCTGACCGAACGATCGTCACTTCCAGTCACAGCCAAAGGTTTAGTAGGATGGACAGCGAGGGCCCAAAGTTCCCCTTCACAATGCCCTTGCATAATTAGGAAAGGTTTATTTCTTTCTTGTACTACAATTTCAAAAATTTCACTGTCCTGTGTTCCAACTAGAATATGGTCACCTCGCCAACAAACACTTCTCACAGACAAACCTAGAAAAAAGTAAATTGTATTTAATCTATAGCGCTGTAATAACACAATGACAATCTTCTGAAACCGAAGTTGATTTTTGTGCCTTTTATACCTCAGATGTGAGACAAAAAGAAATGTGCAAGTCCTTGATTCCCTACTCACATTTTCTTCAATTGTTCATGTTGTTTTCTACAAGAAATGATTCTCTCTTCTCATAGACTTAATTTCTACCCATCCTTTAAGACGTTACTCTGCTTCCTTCTCTTTGTTAGCAACTCCAGCAATGTCTGACTACTTCCTCAGTCAAAGTCTTATAACACCCACGGTCTGCATCATTCAGTAAGTACTTACTCCATAAGTAAATCACCTTTCTAGAGCTGTATTGTGTTATTTTTCTCTCATAATAATCTGACTTTTCACTTGCCCATATTTCATTTTTTCAACATGCTCATAAAACCACTAAGATGAGAGAATTTTATTTTTCTGTGTACTTCACAATCCCTTTTGTAAGCTTAGGAAAGTTACCGTTTTTCTCAGTTTTCTCACCTGTATTATATAACCAATCTAAAGATACTGTGTGCTTCACAATGTTCTTGTGAGAATCAAATAAGAAAAAATGAACAAATTATTTTGTAAGTTCTAAATTATAATACTGCTGAGCAAAAGTAATGAAAATAGAAAATAGTTGACATTCATACGCTTATGATGTGCCATTCTTCTAAAGATCTGACACATATAAATTTATTTCATACTGAATTTATTCTTATTATCCTCAATTTATAGATGAGGCTAAATAACGAGACCAAGGTTACTCAACTTGGAAGTGACCGGAATATGATTTAAGCACAGACCTACCCTTGTAGTACAAGACACACTAGTGAGGGGTATGTTAATTTTTATAGTAAGAGATACTGTTTTATTTACATCAATTTTTTTAATTCCCAAAAGAAAAAAATCTTCCAATTGCTGACAAATTCAGATGAAGGAAAAACACATCTACAACACACTTAAATCATCCTGAATGAAAGTTCCTCCAGCTCCAATATACATTATTTAAAACAGCTTATTTGCTAACTAGTTATATCTAGTATTGTAATAGTAAAATACTTTCAAAATTCAAGGTCACATAAGCAAGTGCCTGACACATCCCTCTGTAGGTTCCATTACAACAGGAACTAGATGTATGAAAGAATCTTTCTCATAACAGTGAGCCTAAACTCTCTACAAGCAAAATTTGTCCTTAATAGAAGAATTTCAATTAAATGTATGCAGTGTAAAGTGGCAAATGTCAGTCTTATCTATATTGACAAAACATAAATTTTTATTTACAGAAAGAAACAATTTTTGGTACATGCAGAGTTTGCCTAATAATGAGACATTTGTTCTGTTATTACCTTTATACCCCTGGTCTGTCTCCCTGAGATCAATCACAGTAATCGGTTTAAAAGTTAAATCCCAAAGACGAACGCAGCCATCTCTGCCACCGGTAGCAAATCCTTCCTCACAAGCATTCATGCTAAAAATCCCTGCCTGGGAGAGGAAATGAATAATTCAATAACATGTGCCTTTTAAGAGCATCCACGACATGAAGGTAGAAACCATGCAAATCCATTTAACAGTATTTTGGTATGACATAAGAGTAAACACATACATCAGAAAACACAAAAGAAAATACAGAAATAAAGCCATAGGAACTTATACCATTGCCTCTTGAATAACATGGGTTTGAGCTGCGTTGTTTCACTTAAATGGATTTTTTTCAATAAATACAGTTGGCTCTCCCATATTCAAGAGTCTTGTATAGGCAACCAAACACAGATCACAAAACAGGATTTGCAGGTTGCAAAACCCAAGGATACAGAGGGCCAATTTTTCATATCCAGGTTCCGCAGGACAAGACTTGAGTATGTGAGGATTTTGGTATCTGTGGGGTTCCCGGAACCAATCTTTCAAAGTTAGCAAGGGATGATGTATATAACCAAGGTTGTACTTAATGATATGGACATAATATAGAAGAAAATAGATTTAAACCCTATGCCATATGTAAAAATAAATTTTAGATAGACTTAAAATTCTAAATATAAAAAAACCTAAAAATGTTAGAAAAAATCAAAACAACATTTATATAATGTTGGGCTGTGAGTGGACTTTCTATGCATGGCAGGTCACCCACAAGCCAAAAAGGAAAAATCTTAAATGCTTTCATGTGAGAAAATATATCATAAACAAAGAGAAACAGATTGGGGAAATATTTGCAACATGTATGACTATCAAAAGATTAATAACTCTAGTATGTGAGTGAATAAAGGAGAGAAAAACAGTTGAACAACCAAAAAAAAGAGTCAATGAATAGAAAAGGAGTCCAAATAGTCAGCAAATACATGAAATTTCACAACTAGAAAGAAACATAATTCTAATTCAAACAAGTTACCATTTTTCACCCAGAAGATAAGCAAAAATTTACAACACTGGTAGTATTCTGTGTTGACAAATATGAGGAAACTAGTATTTTTTTATATACTGATGGTGAGAATTTGAACTGCCAAAACTATAATGGAAAAAAATCAGTTATTTTTGGTCTTCAGGTATTTCGCTGAAATCTAGCCTTGTAATAGTGGTTCTCTAACACATTCAGGATGCTTCTACCTGAAGAGACAACTGGTAACAACGTGGCAGCTCTATGCTATCCAGCCCCCTTCACTTTGTGAGGGGAGAGAAGCTCAACTGCTAAAAATCTCCAAAAAAAAAAAAAAAAACTACAAGTTTTAATGACAGATTTCTTTTTCTTAGTTAATAAGTTATTTATATGAAAATCTCATGTTGTACAAATATTAAATCCCTTGCCACTCATTTAAAGAATCTTTTAGTTACTATTATTACTTTCTTAGAACTGTACCCAAATTTCTCTCTTGTAAGTTAGCCTCAAGAGCACTAGCTTTAGTCTATGTGATTAATCTAGAATACTTTTAGATTGGAGTAAACAGCTTTTCTGTAACACTATGCTGAGAAAGACACCATACTAAAGCAATGACTTTAACAAGGTATGACTTTACCTTGAAATATTATATGGCAGTTAACATTCTGTACATTCTGATATGGAACAAAATCCATGTCATGTATTTTTAAGAGAAAAAAACCAAAATCTTATTAATAGTTAATTCTGTTAATTTTAAGTACCTATTAATCACATTCATTGGTTATTACCATAAGCTGATAAGGTGTTTTAAGTTTCCTTTATGTTTTATCTAAGGTAAACTCCAGCCTATGCACTTACTTTATAATCTGCTTACCTGACGGAACGATCGTCACTTCCAGTCACAGCTAAATTAGTTATACTAATTTAGTAAATATCTTATTGTATAATGTTTCTTTATTGAAATCTTGAAAATAGAAAATTAATTCTGCTGGAATAGCATTTTCCAAGCAACTAAGCTGATTAGAAACAATATATTATGCAGTCTGTCATTCTAAGGCAAGAAGGTTAAGTAGCTAACATCTAAAAGTGTTGGAAATACTTAAATATACTTACAGCATGGGCTCCTTGTATCGTTCGTATAAGATTGATTCCTTTCCAAACATATATATCACCATTGAGCGCACCAGAATATGTTAATTCATCCCTTGCACAGGCTAGACACAATATTGTCTGAAGATCACCTGTCTTACCAAAGACACCTCGTTTTGGGGTCAGAGCATTTCCACATAAACTCCAAAACTAAAAGATACACAATATAATCAAATTACCAAAAAATTCTTATAAAATAAAGCAAAACATTTCCAGTACTTTGATGCTCTCTTAGAGCAGTGGACTAGAAATTGCCTAAGACACTGCTTTGTGATAAAATAGTATTCAGTATTCACATTCTCCTCCTAGAGTTGTCAAAAGCTATGTTACAGCATAGCCTTAGTCACTGGTTTCAATCTTTCTCTGTAAGAATAAGGGGGTTTTTAAATATGCTATATTTTCTTTAGGTTCCTGAAAAAAAATCTACATGAAATGTAGGTAAAATAGTTGGGAACGGGTTAGCAATGAAAATGAAGGTAAGTCACCATACACTAATAGAAAAAAGATCAAATGTAATGTTCAATCTCTGAGAGAAATGTTAAAGATAGGAAAAAAATAGTAGGGGAGGGAGGGGCATACCTCATCAACAAGGGTACCTGCATGATCAATGTTTGTATACCTAACCCTGAATTGTACCCTACATCTTTATAATAAATAAGTAAATTAAAAATAAATTTAAAAGAAAAAAAATAGTATATTTCTCTTGCTGTTATTTTCAAAGCTGATAAATTCCTTTGCTTGTAATTTTAAAAATAAGATACAAGTCCATATGGAATGATTAGTTCATTCTTGGGAAAAGAAATGGAAGTCAAACATGACTCTTAATGACCAGGATTTTTGCTCTACTATGGTGGACTCAGGTAAACTGTCAAATTCACAGAGGAAAATTAAAAAAAAAAAAAAAAAAAAAGGGAGCCGACAGTGGCACATGCTTATAGCTACTCAGGAGGCTGAAGCAGGAGATTCCTTGAGCCCAGGAGTCTGAGGCATGTGAGACATGATCATGCCTGTGAATAACTACTGCATTCGAACCTGGGCAACATACTGAGACCCTATCTCTAAAAAATAAACAAAAAATTGGGAATTATATATACATGACATAGTTCTGCATAAAGAAATTAGGGCCAGAGAATACATTTAATTTTATAATAAATTAACATTCTTTATGCTAGACTTTAAGGCACATTATGTAAGCAACGTGAAGGCAGAGATGATGTTTGACACAGTGCCTGATATATATTAAGTGTGTAATAAATAATTGGCAAATTAATTATGAATAAAGATATCTCTTGGGATTTTATATGTAAACAAACCAAAACTGCAATTTTATATGTAAACGAACCAAAAGTAAATTAACATTTAGAATAATATAATTTATATTACTTACTCATTTTAAAACCTGAAGCCTCAAGGAACTAAAAACTATTTTAGTTATTATCCCAATAGCTAATGAGTGCTTTAATGAATGAAACTTTCTAATTTTTAAACTTAAAAACTACAAATGGCTGATTTTCTTTCTTTCAATGTTGGCTTCACATTAGAATCACCTGGGGGAATTATAAAACAGAATGCCTGAGCCACTAACTGATAGAAACTGAGTCAGAATCTCTGAAGAGTAAAGTCCAGGTATTCAAATGATTTTGATGCTCAGAAGGGTTAAGAACTATTGTTCTAGAATTCAGATCAGTACTGTCCAGCAGAACTTACAGTGACGATGAAAATATTCTGCATATACACATGTATTCCAGTATAGTGACCCCAAGATACATGTGGCTCTTGAGTATTTGAAATGTGGCTGCTAATGTGACTGAAGAAATGAATTTTAATTTTATTTAAGTTAAACTTATGTTTCAATAGCTACATGTGGCAGGACAGTGCAATTCTAGATCATTTCTGGGACTTAGTCTCCTCACACGTATTGTCTGCAAAGAAAACTACACTATTCATTTCGTCTATCAAAAAAATGTAACTCATAATAAAAATATAGTTTGTTTATCTTAATTGAGAAGGTGAGCTTTTAAAAAAACTTGAAAGTGGAACTTTTGGTTTGTTTACATATAAAATAGCAGTTTTGGTTTGTTTACATATAAAATCCCAAGAGATATCTTTATTCATAATTAATTTGCCAATTATTTATTACGCACTTTATATCAGGCACTGTGTCAAACATCATCTCTGCCTTCACGTTGCTTACATAATGTGCCTTAAAGTCTAGCATAGAGGCTTTGCTGTTAAATATATGTCAGAAAATATTCAATCAAATCAATACCAGAATATCAAAACCAGAAGTGCAGCAGCAGTTAAAGATGTGCTGGAGAAAATGTGGGATGGTGGTAAGCATATCAAAAGAAATTGAACACAGAGCTTTACTCACAAGGAATTAACTGTTATCAGGAACTGTTACATCAGACAGTGGGAAAAAAGCAAGTATTTACAATTTGCACCAGTGATTCAGAAGTCACTATAAACATAAGAACGGTATCACCACTGACTTTATGGGTTTCCAAACCTGAACTATAAAGGTACAAAAAAACCCAGAGCAAAGAATGGCTATCAAGGCTGAGAGAGAAATAGGGAGAAATGTGTTAATGGTTACAAAATCACAGCTAGATGGGAGGAATGAGTTCTAGTGTTCTATAGCACTGTGGGATGACTACAGTTAACAATACTATATTACATAGTTCCAGATAGCTAGGAGGAGGATTTGAATGTTCCCAACACAGAGAAATGCTGAATGTCTGAGATGATATGTATGCCAATTACCCTGATCTGATCACCACACATGTACATAAAGAAACATCACTATGTAGCTCATGAATATGTGCAATTATCATCTGTCAATTAAAAAAAAATTTAAGGCTAAGGCCAAATCAAGGAGCAAATATAGAAAAAGGAAAAGGTAACACTTTCAGAAAGGTGACCATGTGCTAGGCACTTTGGCATGCATTTGACCATATAGTTCCCTATTTGAGGATAGTAATGGCAGTCACAGTTTTAAGATATATAAAAAGCTCAAAAATGTTAAATAGCTCATCCCAGGTTAAACAGCTAAGAAGCGGCAGAGTCAGCTCTCACATTTTACTTTGTAAGTGAAATATGAAGAAACAAGATGAACACAGTAAACCCGACCTCACTAGACTATAAATTCCTTTACAGAAAGTGGTTTATTAATTTCCTACTCATACCTACATCCCTTACAATGTCTCGAAGTAACTACACAATAAATGTTTATTAGATTGAACATAAGAGCATTAAGAACATTGACATTTTAAAAATAAGTACTGTCAAAATTCTAGAACTATCTATACTATTGTTAATAGTATTATATGTACTTAGCAGCAGAGAACTAAACATAATTATTATAAAACAAGACCCTTCTAGTACCTTGATATGTTTTACACCACAGCTGACAAGTTTATTTGGCTGGTACAAATCCCAAGAAATATCAAATATCTGTAGACAAATCAGATTCTTGGTTAAAATACTTATTTCCAGAATTATTTAAGAATTATGTCCAGAAGACCAAATGGCCCAAACCTCTATCTACCACAAAATAAATACCCAATAAATAATAATCAGAATCCACACTTCAAAATCTTATGAGAAAAAATATGAAAATGATAAGGAATAAAAACTGTTTCTTAGTTCTATTAATCATCAGTAAATTAAAAGCTTTAACACTTCTATTTATTTTTAATTTTTAAATTAAAATTAAATTGGTCCATAAATGACAAGAATGGTTAAACAGTTCTAGGACATGAGACAGGTACCTGCATAATTTCTACAGAAAAGAAATTCAGAATGAATATAACACTTATATAGCTAGAAATAAGAAGCATTTTATTTCTACTACACAGAACTACTTACATAAAGGACCCAAACATTTATTTTACAGTATTTTTTTTTAGCTTCCTTACCGGTTATAGGTCAAACAGAGTAAACATATACTTAAACTTTGGGGGGGGCCTCAGGTTTCATTATTTTCTAAGATCCCATAGGTTCTAAATACACATGAACAATTTTGTTAAAAAAGTAAGCAAACAAAAAGCCAGATGAAATAAAGTATGCATTAGAATCATGTAATTAAACAATAAATAAAAACTAAACTTTAAAAACCAATTCATTTATTCTGTTATCTGGTAGTATTTACCGTATTTCTTTGACAACTAAGCAACCTACCTCTAAAAGGTTTATGTTTTGGTTTACTACCTCTAAAAATTAACAATAAAGTGATATTCTTCAATGAGAATGAAGAAAGAATAAATCTTACAGGATAGTATTTAACAACTCAACATAACACAATAATGAAAAACATAACAATGTAACTGAAACATGAGCCACAAAAATACTTTTAAAAATTCCATTAATAGTATCATTGGTCTATTTACTAAATCCAGTGTAGTAATATGCAAAATGCTTTAAGTCAGAACATGGAGTTGTCTTAATAAAAAATATCCAACATTTTAATAATTACCCAAATTGTATGTGTTTATTTAACAGGCCCCTTTGAGAATCTGCTAAAAAACAAGTATATTTTCTAAAATGCAAATACACACAGAATTTTCTAGATAACTTTTCTAGTAATAGATTCTCACAAAATATAATCACTGACCATGCCTCTGTGCTGGTTAGGTTAGTATCTGTTTACAGATACAATCAGACATTTTTTTAAGAGTTTATGATAACAGCTTTTGATTTATGTTTATAAAGATAGTATAATATTTAATTAAAAAGCTGGTTACAATATATTATTTATATTAATCTTATACAACTTAGGATGAGGAATATGTATTTGAAAAAGCTTTGAAGTAAACGCTTTAGGTCTCTAAAATTTTTAATAATTCTAAATTCACATAAGCAACATTATTTTTCACCTTAACTATAATACATATGTAACAAATTAGTTGTAGGCCAAACTAAATAGGCCCTAAACTCAAATCATTCAATTTTTAAATTAAGGTTTGAATAATGGGTGTTTCCATATGTCTAAATTCATCACACTGCACACGTTAAATAGGTGCAGTCATCTGAATATCAGTAATATTTCAATTTAACTGTTTAAAAACAGAAAAAAATGTATAACTCTCACCAAAGCAAGTACTGGTTTAAAACTCTTATGCTAATACCATACCTACCGAATCATGTTTCCAAGTCCTATAGCACTTACATATTCTAAGACCTTATGGATTTTTATAATTTTATATTTTTTTTACACATTGTAAAATTGTAATTACATATGACCTATCTGGCAATATCAGAAGAATAAAATCCCCTGAATCCTCCTGTGGTCTTCCCTATTCAGTGTTCATTAGAAATCCCCAAGGAGAATACTTACTCTATCTGTATGACCGGGAGCCATGGACAACATTTTCCCTCTCTTCCAGTCCCAAACACAAACTGCATTCTTTGAATCAAGTCCAACTGAAACCAAGCGCTGAATTATGTTCAAGAAATCCAGGAAGGAATTAAAAGGCAAACAAAGCAAAGAGGAATCAAATTACACATGACAAATAAGTTCTATTCATAGGTTTTATAACATAAAAACGTACACATCTATATTTTATAGCCCTCATAGAAAAAGGTTGGATGAACATATGTACAGTTCTTCCTATTATGAAACAGAGAGATTTCCATGTACAACAATGACTGACAAAATACCCTAAGCATGTCTCCTGCCGCAAACTAAAAATACCAGATAAAATATAAAATCATTTCAAAATGTACTGCTGAACTGTCAAAGAATTAAGAAATCCGAGAAGAAAATCAGAGTAGTTTCCAGTAGGAATCCTGGAGTACAGGAGAGCGCCTATATCCACATGACTCTAAAGGCATCAGATGAATACAGACATTCCAGGATTCTGTGCTGCTGCCGGACAAGGAACAGGAGATCCTAGGCCCTAAGGGTGGGCCTTCCTAAGGTAGGGATCTGAATTGCAGACCTCTGACTAAAGCAGTGAACCCTTCAGAGTAAGGGACAATGAGAAATAACCCCTTTTAAAGAAGGGGGAGTGCATGAAGAGGGAGAAAAACTCCCTAAACATCTATAATCACAAACAGCCTTCACATGGCTATGGTCAAAACAGACATTAACTATGACTCTCTCAAGTGGGAAATTCCTCAGGTTGGTCGTGTCTTCCAACAACTTCAACAATGTGGCCCACAATATAAATCCTACAGGAAGTACAGAAACTTCAGTCCGTACCACAATTAATTCCTACAGGTAGCAATTCAATTAAAAAAGCTTAAAATAAGAAATAAAAATAAACATCATTCACATACACAAACACAAAAAAATAAGACACTCTGAGTGAGAAGTAGCAAGTCATAGCAAAATCAGCCTATTGATTTTGGAATTATGAGATAAACAACATAAAATAAATTTAATGTGAGTAATGAAATAAATGTGAAGAAATAAAATTGAGCAAAGAAATAAAATTGAAGATCCAAAATATCTGCATATGAACAAAGAATATGAAACTATAAAAAGTATTCGAGAAGACCTGAAGAAGCAAACAGAACTTCCAGAAACAAAAAATAAAACAAATGAGATTAAAAACTCAATGGACGAATTAAACAGCAGATTAGCATGAACTGAAAATACAAAGGTGAAAAGAAGAGACAGTGAGCCGGAAAGCATGAGAGAGGTTAAGAGAAAATAAATCATCATAGTAGATGGACTTCTAGCCAAGGAGTCTCAGGGTCTGAACTTGCTGCCGCCACCCCTGTGCCATAAACTAGAAAACTGTACAAAATATATAAAACAAATCCTTCCAGACATTTATAGCAGGAAGTGAATCACTGTGACCCTGAAAGGGGGGATCAAATGAGGAGAGTCCTGCTGTCACCCCAGCTTTCACCTAAGAGGCAGTTTCCAGACTACAGCACATCAAGATGGACCCTACATAGAGCCCAGTAGGCTCACTGACTTGGAAAGACAGAGCCTGAATTCAGAGAGGCCACGATGGCTAGACTTTGCTGAGCAGAAAACGAGCTCCAGAAAATCTACCTCTAGGTCAGATTTGAGAACATTAATCTCTGTGTACAGAAGGTAAAATCCACAAGGTTGTACAAAGAAAAAGCTCTAGAAAAAGAAAAATTACTGGGAACTAAAGGCAAACAGTTCTCAGAGATCACCAAGGGTCAGGAGTCACTCCAATTCCCAATAGCCAGAATGGATATCTCTTAGAACTCACTGGGTAGCATTAGGAAATCCTGGTGTGGGGAGGGACAGTGTGTGTCACTCCTCAGTAGTCAAGTTAAACCAGCAGTCCTAGTGGAAAAGCTACTTTAGCCCTGCCCCGAAAACCCTGAAAGCAAGCTTTTCACGGGATCAGACTGATCCATAATGAACTTAACTACCTGACAGAATGATGTCCAAATGCTATAAGATGGATATGATTTATCCAACATTCAAAGTATAACATACACATTGTCCAGCATCCATTAAAAACATTACTGGCATGTGAAGAAATAGGAAAATTTGACCAATAACCAGGAAAAAAGAAAAAAACAGTCAATAGAACAGACCCAGGAAATCTAGAGATCATTAATATCAAGAGACATTAGCAGTTAAAATTAACATCTCGCCAGGCTCAGTGGCTCAGCCTGTAATCCCGCGCCTTTGGGAGGCTGAGGTGAGTGGATTGCCTGAGCCCGCGGGTTCGAGACCCGCCTGGGCAGCAAAACCTCATCTCTACAATAAATCAAAAAATCAGCTGGGCGTGGTAGTGCACGCCTGTAATTCCGACTACTTGGAAGACTGAGGCAGAAGGATCGCCGGAGCCCAGCAGGTCGAGGCTGCGGTGGCCGGGAGCGGCCACTGCACTCCAGTCTGGCGACAGAGTGAGACTCCAACTCAAAAAAATAAATAAATTAATTAATTAAATTAAATTAAATTAACATCTCAAGACAGTCAAAAATCATTTTAAAATAAACATACCAGACCGTGTGCAGTGGCTCAAGCCTGTAATCCCAGCTTTTGGGGAGGCCGAGGTGAGGGGATTGCCTGAGCCCATGAGTTCGAGAACAGCCTGGACAACTTGGCGAGACCTCATCTCTATAATAAATCAAAAAATTAGTCAGGCATGGTAGCACACACCTGTAGTTCTGGTTACTTGAAAGGCTAAAGTGGAAGGATCGCCTAGCCTGGCAGGTCAATGCTGGGGCGACCGTGAGTGTGCCACTGCACTCCAGCCTGGGCGATGGAGTAAGACTCCAACTCAAAAAAATAAAAAATAAAAAATCAACATACCAGGAAAAATGGAAGATATAGGAGAAGAACATGGAAAACTTCTTATATTCTTTTTTTTTTTAAGACACAGGGTCTCACTGTCACCCAGGCTGGAGTACAATGGTACAATCATAGCTCACTGCAGCCTTGAAAGTCTGGGCTCAAGTGATCCTCTTATCTCAGTCTCCTGAGTAACTAGGACTACAGGCACACACCACACACCTGCCTAGTTTTTTGAGTTTTTTTTTTTTTTCTGTAGAGACAGGGGTCTTGTCATGTTGCCCAGGCTGGTCTTGAACTCCTGGCCTCAAATGATTACCCTACCCTGGCCCTTCAAAGCACTGAGATTACAGGTATGAGCCACCATACCCAGACTAAACTTATTACATTATTTAAAATGAAAATTCACTCCAAAGGATGAATAACAGATTAGACAATGATATAAAGATAAAAGGAACTAAAGACGTAGCAACAGAAATCATCCCCAATAAAACAAAGAAAGAAGAAAGGGAAAAGTGCTTTAATTACCTTTAACAGATTAACAGAGCTTTGATGATCTTTAGGAAAATATCAAGTGGTCTGACAGGTAGTTATGGCTCCAGAAGGAAAGATAGAGGAAAAGAAAACAAAAAAACAAAAAAACCCCACAAAACTGAAGGCATAATAGCCAAAAATTTCCTAAATTTGATGAAAACCATAAAGACACAAATACAGGATGTTCAGCAAATCCCAATCAGGACAGTGATTCACACAGAGAAAACACACATGAAGACACACGGTAATCAAACTGCTGAAACCAACACTCAATATCAAATTCTTAAAAGCAACCATACAAAAAAGACAACTGCTGTATAAAGGAACAAAGACAGAAAAATTATTCCAGACTTCTCATCTGAAGTGATACAAGACAATAAACAACCTCTTTAAAGCACTGAGAGGGAAAAGACAGCCAATATAGACTTGCATACCTACCAAAAATAACTTTTAAAAACCAAGTCAAAACAAAGTCTTTGTCAAGCAAACAAAAGCTGAGAAAATCTATCAGTAAACCTACACTACAAGATATTGATAATGAGTTTTTCCAGGCAGAAGGAAAATGATACAAACAGAAACTTGATTTACCCAGAGTAGTAAGAATGCTCAAATGGTAAGTATATAAATAAGACTTTCCTCATTGAAAATTTTTTTTAAAGTTAGAGTAAAAAATACAGTTATTGTGGGGTTTACAAAATATATATAAGTAAAATGAATGACAACAGCACAACAATAGAAAAGAAAGGAAACAGCAGAACGCATTTTTCCAAATCCTTTCCAAGTATACATGAAGCTTAATGAAAATCACAAAATTTTGGATCACAAAAAAATTTGTCAATAGTTTTTTAAAAATTAAAATACAGAATATGCTCTCTGACAAAACAGAATTAAATTAGAATAGCAATAAGTTATTTAGATAATACCCCAAATACTTAGAAATTAACAATACACTTCTAAGTAACTTAAGAGTTAAAGAAGAAGTCACAAGAAAAATGTAAGGAAAAGCCCACAACACATACTTTGGAAAGTACTGGTTTAGGGTACAGGTCAGCAAACTATAACCATTAGGCTCAATCCTACCTGTACTCTTTTTATAAATAAAGCTTTACTGATACACAGCCACAGACATTATTTCATGCATTGTCTATGACTGCTTTCCATACTATAATGCAGAGCTGAGTAGCTACAACAAAAGACCATACGGCCCACAAAGCTTAAAATATTTACTAACTTTTTATAGAAAGTTTACAAAAGTGCAGCTTACAGCACAGATTCTAGTAGCAGACTATCTAGGTCTAAACATCAGTGCTCACTAGCAGGATGACTGTGAGCAGTTATTCAGCCTGTCCATAACCTTACTTTCCTTGCCTATTAAGCCGGGATAGGTAAAAGTACGTCACAGGGATACTATAGAATTAACATATGCACATATTAAAAGGTGTTAGAAAAGTGTGTGGCATATTTAAATTCTGTATAAATGTTTGCTATCATCATCATTATTATTATTTATTACTAGTTTACCATAATTATAATTAGTTTTAAGGACCTATTCCCCTCTACCTGTCCAAATGAGAAATGCCATCTACTAGCCCATTAGAAACAGGTTCTGCAAAATAGAATTACTATTTGAACTCCAAAATGGGTAGAATGAATAATTCACATAAAAAGAT